TAAGCACAACCTCTTCCTCCTCCTCGCTTCGTCCTCCTGAGCTGCTAGATGCATTCAAGGAAGGAGGATGCCACCTTCCTCAAGAGAGACACTCTGCGGGAGCCACTACAGCCGATCCCCTGCGTTGGCCAGTGCGCTGGCCTTGAGCGACGACCTGTGTTTACCAAACTCGTGCAGCACTATTTTATCTGCTGATTCTTTTCCTGCCTAAACATTTTTGCTAAGCAGTTCATGTCCCCACCTGCTTTACTCTAGGGTCCTCCTTATAGTTTCTCTTTATTCAGCTACAAACATTTTGAGAGGGCCAAGGTTTGCTGAGTCTCGAGCTGCTTGCTTTTCATTTGGGAACAATGCCCCCCGTTGTGTTTCTTTGCCTGTTTATTACTAGAAGTTTTAGCCAGAATAATCTGAGGTTACTTACAAGTTTGGAACAAGCCTCAAGGTTATTCACAGATTTAGAAACAGGCCTACAGCACTGCAGAACTTGTACAATATTCCCAGAACAACAAGTTTTTAAGTAGTGAGGTTCGTGTGCAGATATTATTCCAGAAACATGGACAGGTTTGAAAGGTACCATAAATATGCCTTAACACTTCTCGAGCACACTCTACTGGCAAGTAACCCTGGAGGGTTTTGAGTAGCTTTTCCACATTGCTCGTTATCAGAGATTTATTAAACAACCATATCCAGGACAGCAAGTTCATAGTTAAACTCAAGATGTTTCAAAAAATTAAGATACAGCATTTTCAACACAATTATTGGTCATTTCACTAGGGATAAGCATTGAAACACTCAGTCTATTCTGTTCCTCAAAGTTAGGAAGCTTCACCAGCAGGCATTTAATCTCAGTGATACATTTTCCAGATCCAAATTTGGTTTAGGTATGCAGGTAAACCCTTTGACTTGCGTTTGGACCAGAAGATGTCTCTTCAAGCCCATAACACTAACAATTAATAGAAAGACAATCCAGATGTCAAAGACAATCCAGATGTCAAACTCTCTTGCAGAAAGTTCACTAAGAACAAAATGAATCACCTCAGTATCATCAGCCAGATCTTGCATACAGAACATTAACAGCAACAGCACTTTGTTTTCGGAAAAAAAAAAAATATATATATATATATATATAAAACAAACATGTACCCTATCAGAATAAAGCACTGCTTCTAAAAGCAAAATGCAGAAAGCAGAAAGAATCAAGATCAGCAAGCTGACGAGCATGTGTTCCTGCAGTTCTAAGGGCTGAAAATATTAACAAAACCCCGCTAGTGCCTATCACCCAGTAGAAGCTCAGGTTCTGCAGAGCAATCAAACAGATACAAGAAAGGCATCCCAGCACTGCTGGGAAATTCAACACACAGGTAACAGCAGAAGGTACCACATGCTGATCATTAGCCTTCCATGAGGTAAGAATCATTCTCCAACAGAAAATCAGGCTAGAAGCACCAAGGTGTACATGCCAAAAAGATTATTCTATTCAAGAAGAAAGTTCAGGCTGCCCTACTCAACAAGCCAAAAAACAACTGTAGCCATTCTCTTACTCACCGTTGGTACGTATTCCGATGGGAATTTATTTGTTGTGTAAGAAATTAAGAGACATGTTTTACCAACAGCACCATCACCCACGACTACACACTTAATCGTCTGCATAGCTGAAGTTTGCTAGGATATCAACTCCAACGTGAGCCTAAAAAGAAAGAGATACATGTAGTTAGATGTTTCCTGTTATTACTAGATACCTGCATATGGCATTGATGAGCTTCAACCAGAGCCCAAACCACTAGCATCACATAAATAAAAAGGATAAATAGCACAAAAGACAAGATATTCTTAGATCACATAGTAGATACATTCTCGCCCTTGAGCATGTTCAAGCAATTGCCTAATTGTCTAATATCTGCACAAGCCCAGAAATCAAAACCCAACTTAGAAGAATTCTAACATTGTGAAAAAAAAAAAAAAAGTTTTTCAAGATATCCTGCTTCACAGAGCCCAAACTGATTAGTTTTAGGCAGATATATTTGCAGATATTTTTCCTTCCCCCATTTTTTCTAAGCTCAACATCAAGCTTACATCCACATGCATACCTTTTTCTTGGGCAAAACCACCACACCAACATAACATCCTGAAGGCCACAGGTACACACAATGACTACGGACATTGCAACATACTACTAACCACAAGCTTTTTATAAGCAAACTGGAAGTGACAAGGAGATATGGTTTCATACTGCAAATGACACTGACACGCTGACCAGCGCTCACAAGGGAAGATTGTCAATGACTTGAAACACACCATGTTACCAGCTTTCTTTTTAAAGTTACAGATTTAGACATAGACTGACATCTTCAGGGTATACATTCTCAAGTTTCTAAAAATAGTACTTGTAAGGAAACCCTAATCACAACCTTTCCTACCAAGCCAGGAAGAGATCCACAAGCAGTCAGTTTTAGGAAACGGCAGCAAAGACACTGTCGTAGAACAAGACGTCAATCAGCAACCCACTCACAACACTGCTATTTCTGTGTCTTCTTTCAATACTCAAAGACCTCTACTATGAAGGATTTACTTAGGCACCAGCCAGTATCATTAGTCCTCTACTTGGTGCCACCTTTTAACATGGAAAAATAGAATCTGTTGACTTCTGCAGAGCCCCCATTTCCACACGGGAAGACCAGTGGCACACACACTAAAGTCATATGAGCAGGCCCTTCATTAATACTACAATAAGCTCAAACAATTTGGCCCTAGAGCAAACACATTTATTTAAAAAGGCAAGTCCCCATCTCTATTTCAAAGGTTTTTTCCTATGTTCAGGTCAGCTTAACTGCTTACAGCTAAGTAACATTAGTAAAGCAGGAAAAAGCTTTCCTTATGGGATTTCACATCCATTTCTTGTACGCTTTTCCAGCTTCAACTGACATTCACTATCACACACAACCCAAATTCAAGAAGCCTCTGCTCCTGCCACACTTGGTCATCCCAGATGTGATTGCAGCAAGTGAGAACACCCAGCACCAGGTTAACACCCAGCACTAGGTTAACACCACCGTAGCTACAGTCTTGGCACCAATGGGGAGCCTAATCTCTCTCTCCCTGCTGTGTCCTCCCACTGACAGGGCGCTACTTCTTCCTTCCCTTCCAGGTCCCAGGTTTTTTGGAGGCCACCCCTTCCATAAAACACATGTTTTCTTGTCTGTCCATGATTTACAAGTTACTCATCTACTTCAAGCCCATAAATCATGGGCAGACAAGAAAACAAGTTACTCATCTACTTCAAGCCCATCTTTCCATAACCTGGCAAGTACACAAATGGAAGAATAAAGTACTATAGCTCATTTGATCCATCACAATTTATCCATGCACAATTAATTATTAGAACATTCCATAGGTCCAAGAAAAGCTCACATATGCCATAAAGAACATGTTTATTTTTCAACTCATTTATCTAGAGAACGTTAAGCACGCAGTAAAAAAATTAAAATACCAAAGCATAACAGATCAAATGCCTGTCCCACAACCTTTCCCTTTTTCCTGTCTTTAGCCACAGTCAAAAGTCATACTGGCTCTGTGAGAACTGTTATATTCTGCGAAGAGCTGAAAATTGAAGATACAAGCTACACATACACCTTGCACTTGGACTGCAATATGCTTGCACTAGCCAGTTTTTTTTTCTTGCCGTGAACAATTTCATCTACACAATTAGTCCTCTACAGTACAGGAGAATGCCAATAAAACAGTATTTTCAAGTATTTTACTCTCACCCTACACTTCCAAACTACTCCCAAAGCAAGGGGTTAATTTGATGCCTATCACTCTGATTCAAATGTGCTTGGTAATGCGTAACGCAGGGTGGTACACGAGGAAGAAGCACTGACCTCATACCAGACTGGGTTGCACCTTTCTTTACCAGGTGACTTGATCCTTTAAGCTTTTCTTTGGCAGTGAAAACAGATCAGAGTGTGAATAACCTTATGCCTTACCCCAGTATCAGCACTCTGGAAGGACTTGAGTGCAGTGCAAGAACCCTTCACTGCACAAGGGGTGACCTGGACCAGTAGTTTGTTTCATTTTATAAGTAAAGAAATTAACAACTTACCACAAATGGAGAAAAACAAAAATATATATATATTAGCTGGCGCCACTGTAACTTCTCTGTGCACCAAGGACTACTGTGTGTCTCACACAGCTATTTAAATCCTCCCACGTGGAAGTGAAACCCACTAGATGCTTCAGGGTTACTTCTGTAAAAGGCCAAGGGGCATCCACATACCAGCATAACTTAAGGCTAAAAAATGATTTAAAAAAATTAATTTGCCTATTTTTTAAACACAGTGCTTAAAGTTGGGCCAAGTTTTAAATAGATTTGGCATCTTAACTACAGGTCTCCAAAGTCTTATTCAACAACTCCACTTTCCCACCACTGGATTGCTTTACTTTGATTAGAAGGCTTTCCAGATTAGCTGGATGAACAAGTTTGTGTTCCCCAACCTCTAACAAGCCACAAAACGCAGCTGAAAAAACAAGCTCACTGTTGGGGGCTTAGATTCACTACACCAGGGCCTACTCTTCCACAGGAAGACACTTAGTTACATATACATATTCACTGAACGTGGGATACAAGTAAAAAATTCCATATCTCCAGAGTGAAACACTGGTAAGGGGAAAACTAAGAAATTAAAAGGTTTCTTTGCTAAAGCACCTAACCCAAGAACATCCACACATACAACACCCAGAAGGATTACAAGGCACTTCCAAGTAATTTTAAGTATCTGGGGGAATTTAAGCAGCCCAGGCAGGCAGCAGTGAAGTGAGCGCTGTTTGAGTGCAGCAGAATCAACAGAGCCACATAGTTGTGGCCATCTGACTGGCCCCAGCCAGGAGACCTGATAGAGGCCAGAAACGTAATGCAAGTCAATCTCCTGCAAAAAGACATCTTTTAAGTTAAACTGATTCAATTGTTCTTTGCACTTTCTCCATACGGTCTGAATATTCACCAGAAGACACTGATATTTCAGCCCTTTTGGCTCTGAGACCCCACGTGGTACCTACAGCTTTCTCCCATGCACAAGCATGGGAAAATACTACTACAAATACAGGTTAAAATGTGGACATTTCTCCTAGCCGGAGGAAACCAAGCCGTCAAATCCGTCTGCACATCCTGTATTAGCTTCCTGCCGAGCCCCAGCAGCATCTCAACTTCCTCTTTCGAGCAGTAGTTTAATGCTGCCATTTCATCACATGTACTAGCTAAACTCAGCTTGCTGCAAACCACCACCAGCTCATGATCACAATACTCTTTTGTACACACCATTACCTGCAAGTCTAAGCTTAACCAGGCTGTCACAGCTTCAGATCCTGTTCTGCACTCGAACAGAACCATTTCTGAAGATTAAAAATAAACCATTAATATTTCTTTATTTCCTCCAAGCAGCACAGTTTTACAGTACACACAGGTCAGTCATTTAAGTCAGCTGGGGTCAAAGCAGTCATGAGTTCACAATGCAACAAACAAGAACATGTACAGGATTTTACTCAGGTTGGCCTCTGCTATCCACTTTCCCCTTCCAAACTATTATCAGTTCATATTTTAAAAACATACATACACCTGCACTTACTTACACGTGTATTTGGCCATTTGTTCCTAGATGAACCACATTCACTTTAAGGCACTCAGGCAGGACTGCGAAGTTACTTTACACAAAAGTCACCTGCTGTATGCCCACTACAACATAGCAATTTTTGTTTCTTAATGCAACCAGAAGTCTCCCAAATACGAGGCACAAGGCATAGCCAAGCACTCTGATGTGAGCAATGAAGTATTCTCCATTGCAGAGCCATTAACCAGGATTAGACAGGGGAGGTACATCGCATGGCTATGCTACATTATGAATCTGGTGCAGCCTTCTCAACTGCTCCACCTCAGAGATTCCTGGCACATCTTCTGCCCTTTAAAGATCAGAGACCACTAACATACAAGTGACTTTAGTTATCAACACTATAGTTAACAGACCTTGGGCTGCTCGATAATAATGACCCTCGCAAGGATAAGGTGGGAAACGTAAGCAGAAGCAGCTTTCTAATTAAGAGCTGAACTCCACAAAAGACACGACAACCACGGAAAGCAGAACTGTGTTTAAGAGCAGTATTGCCATGGTTGCTGTACACCTGTAGAGAGAAATACCATTTGCTGAGTTAGCTAAGCCTTCCAGATCAAAGCTCAATTTTTATCTTTCAGTTTGCTCGAAACTTTTATTCAGAGGATGATCTGACCCCCCAATACACTCACTTGCCCTATGCTAGTAGCACGGTAAGGTAACTTTTTTAGATTATATTTTAATACTCTGAACCACCTGAGATTACATGCCCACTCTGCCCATAGCTCAGACCCTGGCAGGCACACAAGGTAGATACACAAGTGCCTCCCCTTGCTCCCAAAGGCTCCCAGTGCAGCTTAAGTTCTGGATAGCTGCATTCCCTTCGAATAAGGCAAGTCAAAGTTCAACGTAAAGTCTGCAAAGAGCAGAAGGGACTCGAAACAAGCCTGTAGATATTACCATGCCAACTCAGGGGCTTGAAAAGATATCCTTCTTTTCAATATTCTTCCAAGCTTGCCAGTTTACAGAGTTTGCATATCCAGACATCTCCGCTGCTGAGGTCCCACAGCAGCATTTAGAAGCAACTATTTCTGAATAAGTCAGCTTGAATTAGTATGGGAGAAGTGCAAGATTTCTTCTCAAAATACAGTTGTCTCATATCAACTGACAGTTTCTATATTTATAATCAGCCTAGCTTTTTTTCTCATTAGGTTCTCTATGTGAGAAGGGACAGGCATTTTGTACAACTTCATAAAGCCTCTCCACAACAAGCTAGCAAAGTAGAGACACACAAAAGGAAGAAAGTGATTTGTGGGGTGACAGGGGAAGATGGGAAAAGCCTGTATCCAAAGTACTAGCTGCATTTCTGATGTTTCCAGTTCCATATCTTTGAAAAAAACAAATAGTCCTTTTGCTTCATTTTCATCCTAATAAAATTCAAAACAAGCCCACAAAACCTGGTCGGAAGATGAATGGGCTTGTTGCACAACAGCTCAACTTGGGTGACCCCAGCAGCGCTTCCATTTGTTCATACTTTTACCCTGGGCATTGCCAGATCTATCCCACTTCATAGCTCAGAAGAACACATTTGTCTTTTTTTTTTTTTTTTTTCCCCGCCTGTTGAGTTTGTTATAAAGTTCTTAGTTATCATTCTGGTTAAAGTCGCACTGTTTGGCAGAACCAACTGCTACAGGTAGAAAAAACTAACCAGAGTTACCACAGAGAAGGGAACATACTTACATTTTAAGTCCTCTTCTAGAAAACGCATTCTGTCTTATGACCCTTGACTTGAATTCTTATACCCTACAGGAAGTCATTTTATTCTACCATGCAACAAAATCCTGTTCAGTGCTTTAATACCACATTAAAAAGAACCATCTGGATTAAGTTAGTTTCATACTTCTAGCATTTAGGAATACAAGCTGTATTTTTACCTTAGCTTCCATTTGCACATATTAACAGACGCCTATGCCCAGAGCTGTTTCTCCTCCTATACCACTGTTAACTGCAGTCAGTTATGAGTAAAACAGACCACTGGCAGAAGTTCCTCTATTTTTGTGCACATTTTTGCATAGCTGAAAGCACCCTACATACATTCAAGTTGCAACTCATCACTCTTCATTCCCATTACATTCAGGAAATAGGATAACGGCTGGCGCTCAGCGTACACAGGCTGTCTAAAGGGTGTCTTAAGGAAGCAGTGCATTTTGGCTCAGACCTATTACCAACATTCTTTTGAAGAACTAGAGGATGAAGTTGTCAAAAACAATCCAAGAGAGACTTTTGCCTGACACTGAGCTACCCTGGGATATCCATGAAACCTAAAAAAGAACTGGAAAGCTAGCTAAAACCAGGGGGGAAGAAACACAGGTTTTGCTTCACTCACCTACCCACAGGAAGGAGCTTGAACCACCCTTCCCCTGCTGAGCAGCAAGGGCAAACCACAAACACTGCGAGCACCAATCGTGGCGTAGACAGCGAGGCAAAAAGGCTGCTGGGCAATTGGCAGTTTTCCAGAAGCAGGTAAACATGGAAACCACTCGTGACAAAGTTCTCTTGCCCCACACACGTTTCATCCCATGAAGAATCCGCCCAAGAGCCCCTCTTAAAGCATTTGGGAATTAAGCCTTTAAATCCACAGCGCTCCGCCAGCATTAGCAAACTCACCGTTCCAAACATGCAGAAGGTGAACCACAACCAGAGCACCTCTCTGGTCACATCCAAACCAAGACACAACCTTTCCACTATGAGGCCTAGTCAACTGCACTCAATCATTTACAGACCACAGCCAGCCCAATCCAAACAGCTACCAACATTTTCAAAGCAGCAGATGCCTTTTCCCACTACAGTCAAAACTGCAAAAGCATTTTTGTCATATCCACCACCCCAAAATAAAATAGAGCACTCATTGGCCAAGAACAAGGAGTAACATCTTTCGAGTTGAGAACCAAGTAGTTCAAACCAGGTTGTTACAAACAAGCAAAAGCAAGCAACCATGGCCACTGCTGTGGCACCACAAGGACCTGGCACCCCACTCCTGACTTCCACTCTTCCCTCCAGGATTCACATAGGAAGCTTAGCCTTAACTCTGGAAGCGGCTTGGCAAAACCACCTTCACCTTTACCATAGTTTGGTGTGCATTTGGAAAACAAGCTCCGATATCACACAATCAGAACACAGGCAGAGGAGAACACGGTATCTTCACACCACTTTCAGACAGAAAGACTCAGAGGAGGCTGCCCGGTTGCTGTAACACACGGTATTCCAAATAAGAAATAAGTATTTCTCTTTCAGCTAGAGGAGGCAGAGCATGGATCATGCTAGGAATCATGGCACAACACTCCAAGTCATGGAATGAATTAACAGCACAACAGCTTAAAAAATGAACAGCAGCTCTTAAAAGTTTTTCAAAAACTGATTCCTCATTTTCTCTTTATAAAGTCACTTGTTTAGAAGAAAAGTCATTCTCTCTCAAGGAGCGCAGCTAATTTACTGAGATGAAAAAACAGATCAAATGCTATTTTGATGATTTAAATACAACAAAAACATTATCTGGAGCTGGAAAGTTACAGAGATTGGTTACATGGCAACAAGGTTGAAACTCTGCTTCTTCTATTCACCATTTTCATTTTACTGCATACTTAGGACTGGGTAAACAAACCAAGCTCCTCCATCCAATAACAATCTAGAGGAAACACCACCAGAACCTGAAAACAACTCTCTCCAATTCCAGTTCTACCGCTTTCTTGCCTCCTCTCACCAATTTCGGGCATTTATCTGCATACTATCATGAAAATACAGCCCGGATTCCAGAAGAGTTTTTCACCTGGATGTAGTCCCTACCTCTCTTGGCTGCACACATTCAGGGAGGAATAAAATCAGGCCACGTTTTATCCCTCTGAAATACTTCGCAAAAAAGGTCTTGCACACCAATTCTAGTAGTAATCTTTTTGGATGGATGCCCTTAGCCAATAGGCTATGAGCTTCCAACAGAGCTTAAAGGAAGCTAGATGCCCACCTCATTAAATACCAAGTTTTAGAAGTCTACCCCCTTCAAATGTCTTTAAAGTCTCAGCATAAAAACTCCTCTTGTCAAGAAGGTGTTTTTATTTGCCATCTATTAAACACTTAAATTGGGTTTTGTCATGCGCTTATTTGACATAAAGGGGTGACAGGAGCCAAGCTGGAAGCCTGCAGCATGCCAAGTAGATAAGGAGGGTTCCTTGCTACCTAGAGCGCTAAAAATCAATTTCACGGCCAGTTAGTTCGACAGAACCCTAATCTTGTACAAAGAGAAGTATTCCACTTCCCCCAGAGGGGATTAAGCCTCAAAAATGAAGTTAACTACACCCCCTCGCAATTCCCTCTCCAGACTTGCTGTTGTAGGAGCTAGGAACACTGAAACCCATAAGAGCTATTTTAACCACAGGGAAAGCCTGTAGAGTTG